CTTTAAGATATTTAAATATTTTCGTAATTTACTTTTCTTGTTATGTTCACATATTTCATGCAAATATATAATTTTCTATTACTGTAGTAATTGTTGGTGATTCTAAATAAATTTAAAAAATATTCCTGTCAAGTCAGCCTGTTCCCACCAACAAAAATTATCACCCAAAATTATATTGTTTGTTACTAAAAATAACATAAAAAAACATAGAGTACTGTTCGGAAGCGTTACAAACATAGTAGATTTTTTATACCATATTTGTAAGGCTTTTTCTACTATATTTTTAACGCTAGTAAGCCAGTTTATTTGATTCCACATTCAACTTCTACAAAAAAAGTCTATTTTATTCGTGACGTCACGTTATAAGCGCGGTAAACCCAAATGGTGAAATTCCACGGCGGTAATAAATAATTACGGCATGTAATAAAGTGGAACAAAAGTAGTCTAATATTAATTAACTAAGCTCTGATATAACAGTATATGTAATAACATATTTTAACGTATAGGTCAGGTTATTTCTGATTGGATCAACATAGTTTATTCCGATGTTTGTTCCATACTAATTTTATCAAAACTAAAGTTGAATTTTTATGAATATGCATTGAACATTTCTATGTTCATCTTTGTTTTTTTTTTTTATAGATTATGTGTTAATGCATAGTGGAAGATAATAAGATGAGCATGAAGTCAGGTCAGTTAGCGCATCATAATAAAGTCAACATGAATTTAGCACAATGGTTTCCAGCCAGCGTGAACCTCTTGAACAGGCAGGTGCACCATTCCATTTTCATCCATTAAAAAAACACAAACTATTTTCATTTTATAGAAGAACATCATTAAATTTCTATTATATAAGACTTATAATCTGAACCGACCGATTCTGGTGGTAAAAAAAAATACAAAAATACAAACCCGTAACTATAGCACATAATACTTAAGTTAGGTTAAGTTTTAAACAAGAAAGAATCATTGAATGGTATAAAGTAAAGGTTTATATGAAGAAATATTTAGAAGGTATGGTTGTCGGCAGCCATCTTGTTTTTCTGGCAATTTTTTATCGGTCGGCCATTGTTGAATCTGATTGTTTGAATGTGTGTGTATAAGTTAAACTTATAGTAGTTGATAATGATAATAATTTTATTATTAATTTCATGTATATACATAGAAACATTACCTGCACCGTATTGTTTTAGTAAAAAGTGGTAAATTTTTTTTGGGTCACGTACAAATATTATGATACGGATATGGTTTATATACATAAATAAAATCATGTAAATATATACTTAAATTGTTTTTCCGTTACCATATATTATACATACGAAAACAAATCATAAAGTAATATATTTACAAAACATATTTATTTCACGCATTTTACTTATATATTTATAAGTACACAATATTTTTTTCTGTTATGAAGTAAAATAATTAAAACAGACAAATGGACATGACATTTACACACTAATTAAGGTACCCTAAAATCGTCTTAAAATTAAACAGAAGTTTCTTATCGACAAAAAAAATTTAATCCTCCCTATCTGTTCCTATGCCTGATATCTCAAAGCAAGAAAAAAATACAAGAAGTATAATAAATAACTTGGAACTGTAAAATAAATGTTCTCCTATAATAAAAGTTGGAAAGATAACTTAATATCTTGGATTCTTAATCGTAAATTATTTTCTGCCACAAAGGTAGAATTGAGAAAATATTTCATAAAATAAATGTATACTAACTGTTGCCTGCGGAATTGCCCGTATCAATTACGATATATTTTCTGTATTAGTGTTGTAACTGGCTAATCGGATATGTCTTTATTATTCTAAGTTTGTATTTAAAATTATAGTACTTTTTTATTGTACATTGTTATTACCTATTATATATGTGCGTATTCCAAATCTTTTTCTATAGTTATCCTATTACCTATACACGTATATAATAAAACTACATCAATTAGCTTCCTGCATATATTATTGTCACTTTTGATATACCTCTACCAGACGTATTAGTCACTCCAAGTCGAGACAATCGTAGGATGAAGACATCCTACGATTGTCTCGAAGAGATCCCTATTTAGCAATACAGCCGCTCATTGTTACTTCCATCTTACTCATAGCAATAATATGTTTTGGGGGGAAGGGGATTGTTAGTAGGTAATGGAGGTCTAGTGTCCCCATTGCTAGCAATGTACCATGTTAGATCGACCTCGACGTGGTTCTCCCTGGAAACCATCGTAGTTAATTCCTGGTTATTTACGATGGACAAATTGCCCTGACCTCATGCTCATCTTATCATCCTCCACTAATGCCCTGCCAGCGTAAACCGTTAGCGTAGGCGGGTGCACTATTGTATTATTATCCAAAATATTTTTTTTTATCTATTTGTAAATATTAATTTATGTAACTGTTTTTTCTACGAGGGGAAATGTAAAGACTTGATTTAATTATATATAACATCCAAGGCCTCTGTAGTTCAGCGCACTGCCTTACTACCAATGGTTGCAGGTTTGATTCCACGAACGGTACAAACATTTGTATTCATAAGTATGATTGTATTGATTTGTATTCGTCTGGGTTATCTATGTACATTGTGTATATATTAAAAAAAAACTATGCATTAATATTAGTTGTCTAGTACCCATAACACAAGCGCTGTGTGAATTATCCTTGGGGTATTATTTCCATAGAATCTATCTATCTATTGAAAAAAAGTAATTAGTTTGCGACTACACGTATTTCATATCCATAAATGCTTTTGAATACAAACCTTACACAAAGGATTTACTTTATCGTACTAAAGTTATAATAGAATGGCTAATATTAGGCATCATACCGAACTAGGTCAGTAATCTCTAAATCTGATTCACTATATTGTCCCAACTTCGGAACTTCGCAATGTAACCACAAAGAGGGATGAAAGACCTCGGAATATTTTCAACAATAACAGGATTAGTGGTTTATGAAACATGAATTTATGTAGTTCTGTTTCATTCAGCGGTGAGTTAATAAATGCTGTATTTTATCACTTTATATATAACTAGCTGACCCCGCAAACATTATTCTGAGATATAAATTAAAATCACTAAGAGGGGTTGATAGTAGAAAAGTGAAAATTTAGAGTTGTAAGAATTTATAATGCCATATTATGTAATATTAAAAATAAAAAAAATTGTCCACAAAATAAAAAAAAGTGTTAGGGGTGGTCAACCCTTAGCACTTAGGGATATGAAATATTATTAGTAGACGAGATCTACTGAATATGCATATAAAATTTCATAAAAATCGGTCAAGCCATTTCGGAGTAGTATGGTAACTAATATTGTGACATGACAATTTTATATTTAAGATACATATACTAGGCGCAACTTAAAAATTGAATGAGAAGCATACTCAAAAAGTGAGATTATATTGTAAATATAAATAATAAGTATAGCATAAAATACACAACGAATACAATCACAAATACAATCGGTTTTCGAACTCCTATATTCTTAATCCGTTTGAAAGCTACAGCCACCTACGTCCTTACTTCTTAAAAGTATTCTGCACTTTAATATTTAAATGTGACCGGACTAAAGTCGGTTACTACCACATAGAAATGACTATTTCATAATGTATGAGCTGAAGCATGCATGCATTATAAATGTCTACTAGATTGCTGCTGGCCGCTAAGTTCATTACCATCACATTCCGAATTTAAATTTAAGTATTAATAGATCGCATAAATACTTAAATTCGAATTTAGAATGTTAAATAATTAAATTGTGTAAGCTGCAGCCACAACCTGTTAACTTTAATTCTAAATTTAAATCGAATTGTAACTTAAATGATTAATTATTAATTATCAGTTTAAAAAATTGAATCCAAATCAGTTTAAATTTAGAATATTAATAAGTCATCGTACACTGTAAACATTTGTAATTTAAATGAACATTTTTTAATTATTACTTTAATAAATTAAAATCAAAATATCTTTATTCATGTAGGTCTATTACAAACTCTTATGATACGTCAAATCTACCATCATGTAATGCGTATGGAATGCTTTCGATTTAGAGCAGACAGGAAATTCAACAATTGTTCTTTTCAAATGAATACACAATTCCAAAATTACAGATGAATTACAATTTCTACAACAATTTTAACCTTACCAGAGTTGTGATAACAAATTATTTTATGATTTTTTACTTTGACTATTCATTAATAAAGTCTACCATTGTATGAGTTACTTTTCACATTTGAAAAACGGTGAAGTAATTTTATAATATATCCAAAGTTATTACTTAAATAGTATTCTGTTACATAAAATCAGCCAGTCACAATAAGCTATAGAGAAGTCACGTTACAAATAAAAAAATATTTGATTGTAAACCTCTTTTGGTAGTTGGTTGAAAATGTTTATTTTTATATTAATTATGTATAAGGTAAATGGATTATCTTTATCGTTATATGAAATCCTCTTGTTAGGTATGCCTCAACGAGTATTTACACGTCAATGGGCAATAAACTCGCCTATTCATAGCCAGTCAATATGTTAGTCAAACTTGTATTATCTGTAGACATGAAAAGGACAGAGATAGTGGATTAAACGTTACCTATTACAACCTACACAATAGAGAGTGACAGCCTATTTTTATGTTATTGGAATGGCAAACAACCTGACGGTCATCTGATGGTAAACGATAATCGTCGCCTAAATACATGAACGGCATTGCGGGCATCACGTTATCATGTGACGCTTTCATGCGTTGCCATTCCAGAGCACTATTATCAAGCCTATGTACCATATAATATGCCAACTTTTTCAGGACAATTCATCCAACGCCATCCAGACTCAAGTTAAGCTAGCTAAAGTTTGTTAAATATTACACCCGGACCAATACAAACAATCATACTCAGGAATACATATGTTTGTGACGTGCGAGGAATTGATCCCGCGACAGAAGTCTTAGAGAATCTTATAAACATAAACAGTTGCTCAGCTGTGGTAAAAAACATCGACTTACCTTTATCGTCGGCTCGGAATTCGGCTTCCAGCTCGGCCTTGGATGGCTCCGGCTCTGGTTTCTTGGTGGCTGCCTTCATACTCATTGTTTTTCTTGTCTGGTGGCCCCTGAACGCTGCCTGTATCTTAGTCGCCGCTTGCTCCTCTGTAAAGAAGAAAATAACCTCATTGTTTTCTTTCTTCCATTCTTCTAAACAATAGACGTACGCACTTTTACACTTGAATCGTCTCTCAAGCAGGAAAATGTGCATGCAAATGTAGACAAAGAGAACAAGTAACTTACACATTCCCACTTCATTCGATCGCGTGAGTTTTAGCGCCTTATTAAAATTACTAATTAAAATTGCAAAATGATATTTTAATTCACATATTGTTTCAATAATTCACTCAAAGTGCTTATATAACTTTATAAATAAAATCACGTACCCTTTCTCAAATATTAAAACTATAAAAACACTTTTAGTCTTATGAATGCAGTCAAATAGTATTTTCTTTACTTTAAATTCGATTTCGTTCATTATTGTTTTTAAAAATATTAGCTACCTATATTTACCGTAAAGGAGCCTTCTGCTGTATTAGAAGTAATAAATTTTAGCAATTAATTAAATTCGTCAAATCAGGTACAGTATTCAAACATGTTACTATAACACATGTTCTAATGTGCAAATATATGTAATATCTGAGTGTAATTACAATTATTTGAAACTCCACGTCATAAAGTTTATATATTAACATAAAAGTTATTTGATTCCGCAGTTGTGTCGACTCTACATCCTCCAGTTCAATGATGAAAATAGTTTCAAAACATTGGAACCGAGTGAGGGAATGTAAACCTAAAGTTACATATACTTTGTAACAAGATCGCAACTTACTTCAAATTGAAAATGCTTTTTCGAAATATTCACTATCATTATTAAAACTTTTATTAGGACAGAACATGCAGTTCTCGACTCCTCTCCATACAAAACGTGCTACTATATTATACTACATACTATATTATTTACAAAAACGTAATACTATGCACATTTTCCACAATAACTAATTAAATTCGATAAAACTTTACATAGATTAAGGCAACGAAGGTTTCATACTAATCAGATTTTCATTAAACAAGTCAGTTTTAGAATTACACGTAACTGAAAAAACTCGATTTTCACAAAGTAAAAAGGACCTATCTTCATTCGTATGAACAATGCAAGGCAGTATAAAGGTGTGTAAATATTTTTTACAATAATGAATTGAAAATACCTCTATATGTACTGTAATAATAGAGTAAGCCGAGTAGAGCGGAACGTAGATATTTAGATTAAAATTTCAACTGAAACTTTTACTATCACAATCTAAGTTTACGCGGCAGGAAGCTCCTCTGAAATCTCACTGTCCGAGACCACTTAGGTTTCATACATTTTGTGTACGTGCTGATATTCTCGGACGGTCTCGGTGGTCTAGCGGTTTAGCACACCGCCTTACCTTCCTCTTGTCACGGGTTTGATTCCTCGCACATTTGTATACATGAATATAATTGTTTGTATCGGTCTGGGTGTATAATATGTATGTATTTACAAAAAAAAATATATCAATCTATTTATATCAGTTATCTAGTACCCATAACACAAGCTCTGCATAATTTGGGACTAGATGGCGCTGTGTGAAATGTCCTGAGATAATATATTACATATATTCACATCAAGTACAAACACAGAACATATAATATAAGTAGAGACGAACATAATTTATGTAATTATCATAATTAATTAACCTAACATTTTCCATATACAAACGTAATTTAAAATTAAGCATATTTATACAATGTATCATTGTCATGCAATTGTATACATACGCAGTTAATTAACTTTACAAATAATTAACCATCCACTTATTCATGCAATGTTTGTGTATTTAATTTATTGGGGATTTTGATAATGGGGACAACCCTAATAATCAAGCTAATCAAATCAAAACAGGGGATTTTGATAGGCTGGTACTTTCCCCGTTGCTAATCAAATTAACAATTTTATTCATACAGAAAAAAGATGTTATGTTTATCATAATGTTTATCACTATCTCTACCTTCCTACTAGCTCTATCTTGACATGGTCCTCTTATCAGTAAATTCCCACAGAAATTCTAAGGAATGTCTATGTCTAGGAATTCACATGACTATATATGTCTGTCTCTATTGATAGTCTTAAAAATATTGCAGTAAATACATAAAAAGACATAATATAATTTACGATTTATTTATATAAAGCCCACTAATAAGTTTTCAAATAAATTTTCATTTAGCTTGTGGCAAAAAATTTCAGTGAAATTTTGTGAAACCTCCAGAGACTAATATGATTATTCAACACAAAATGGCGGAGGAAAAATTACATTTAAAATGGCGCATGTGATCTCACTGACACAGATGATGGAAGGATGTAGTAGACGGATAACACTAATTTAAAAAATACCTTTTGGCATTTATGTTATTAAGTCTAAAATTTATTTTAGTGGGCTATATGTGGTGTGTAGCTTTGCTACACTACTAAAATAAATTTTAAATATTTATATAAATATTTTCAATATTAATTCTCTTGTATTTTATATTCAGATAATAATAAAATATATTATTTTATATAGTAAACTTAATATAACCTTTAAAATAGTCATATTTTTCTTATTCTACCACTCATTCAACAATAATACTTCTGTTACATACACAATTCCTGAGGAAAATCTTTCTGGTCTGAACGCAAACGATTCGGCAAATACATGTCCTTTGAAAAAGCTAAATGAGACAAAAATGTAGGAAGATATTCAAATTTTCAAACAATGGACAAACGTAATGTAAATTCACTTCTTTTCCTCGCCGTTTTGTCTGAGAAATACTTGCGGACTGGCTGGAAATATTCGTTTAAATTTTTAACGAGTTTCAAAGCGTCCATTTTATAAATAGCAGTATTTATGGATGGAATAAATAAAGTGTCCACTACAAACTGTATCATTCGTACATTCAGATTTATATAATCTCAGGACAATTTACACAGCGCATCTAGACTCAAGTTAAGCTAGCTAAAGCTTATGGGTACTAAAAAACTGATACAAATACATACATTTTTTTTCCTAAATACTTATATATTATAGATAGAAGACATCCAAACTGATAGAAATAATTATACCCATGATATTTGTGCCTTGCGAGGAATCAAACCCGCGACCATCGAAAGTAAGACAGGCTAAACGCTAGACCACCGATCAAATAATATAGATCATTAAGAATCGTCAACAGTGTATATGTTGCTGGCAGCTTGTCTATCATTCTTGTTATAAATATTATTCTGATATACGTTTCTTTCATGATATTTTTATTATTGTTATTGCAAGACTTTTATGCTTGTTTATTTGTATATTTTATTTATTGTTATTAAATAATAATTGCATAAAAATCTCACTCTGATCAAAGTGTACAAGATTATTTCTATCATGTATTAAGTTCAATTTTAATCGAATTAAGTATTTAATGCCAATTAGGTTCAAACCTATGGTTAAAACGATGTTCCTTATGTGTTATATCACGACATGATTTTTAAGATATAATATGTGTTACCACTCATGCGCTGTTATTACAAAAGACTAAGATACCACGCCTTTGTATCATGTAATTTCACCGCTACATCTCACACCTATACCGAAAGTCATCATACAAAATAAATCGCTCGTTGAAATAGGTGAGACATCCATATACTCACACAAACGACATATGGCATCTTAATAAGATTACCAACTCAACTGTACTAAAATTAATAAGCTAATAATACAAGCCAAGGACAAGGGTCCCAATGGGAACGCATATCTCTGACGAACCCATAAAAGACTATTTACATTCACTTAACCAACTGAGCATGGACGTATTACATAAGTGGTAGTGGATATCTTGTTCCTATTTTCCTTAATGTTACAAGCTACTTGTAAACGATTTGTTTTCTTGACACATTGTATAATGTAATGGGAAACCTATATATAGGTTAAAACAAAAACAAACTCGCTAGTGAATTTGTTTGCATTTTTTTAGATTATAAAAATGCACATGTGCCTATATGCAATTTATTTTTTATTTATTTCATTCAGCACATCTGACGATAAAAAATTAATATTAGTTATTTATTTATATATCACCATTTTTTGGAACTATTCTAATGCCCTTGGCCGCAGATGGCCTTTACAGATTCACCGATTGATAGAGGTCCAGTGCAGATGGCACTCCGTATTCGTGGAAGACCTTTTGGATCGGCTGAGGGCCAATTCCTGCCTGACGGCTACTACTTCGGATGGACATGTGAGGGCACCACTAGGGGTTCGAATATTGGCTTAGGCCGTCGTAATTTCTATTCCCATCCCGTAATAAAGAATGTAAGTAGATTTGATTCATAATCCGTAATAAATAAATACAAATATCTCTTGACAAGTTTAAAATAATGACCTAATAAAATTAACTTTTTTTAAAGGTAAAATTCTAAAATTGTATGTTATGTTTTGTTAATTGTAAGTACAAATTTGTTATATAAATGTCGTAGTTGTCTATAATTAAGGCTGCGATTAGCATAATAAATATATTGTAATGTGTTATATAATGTAATTGTGTTAATGACCCAATAAAAAAAATAGACTATATTTGTCGTTTAAAACAAATTCACTACAATAAATGTATGGTGTCATGAAATCCTGTATATCTAAGTACTATATCATATAGTTATATATATATATATATATATATATATAAGGAAGATGATATATAGTAGGTATATAGTTTCGTTTAGTAGCTTTGTTATAAATACTTCCACGATAAATGTGCAAACAACAGTGGCAGTAATTAGCACTGTATAGCTTGAGAAATACCTGGCACTCAAAATTGACAACAAACCGGGGGTGTAGTAAACCATAGCCGTCGTTTAAGTTAAAAGATATAGCGACAAGTAATGATATGTATTTTATTTTGTGAATGACAAACATGACTTCATGTCATATCAATATATATGTACTATTTCTTAATTTTTCAGCCCTATCTGATGGTAAATGCTTACCGTAGCCTATGGACGCCTGAAACCCCAGAGGTGTCACGTGTGCGTTGCCGACTCTAATATAATTATACTAGCTGTCCCGGCA